CTAGACATTCTAATACTTTAGCATTACTTAAGTTGATAACAAAATTATTAAGATATTGACATCGCTACACATGCAACTTACGTCAATGATGTTTGTTTTCGTCATTTGCTTGATATCGCACACAAATCTGTATGAAATTTGAACTTTAAGAGGTTACACATAAAACACCGCTTAAAGATTGTACAAAAGACACATAAGTGAAAAGCACCTTTTCATAATTTCTAATGAGATACAGTAGAGCCAAACAATGAATTAAACTGAATTATACAGATATTTCGTCCTTCTAGGACTCGTCAATGATACTAAGGGTCTAAACCTTGAAGCCTAGGAGGCGATTAAGGAAAATCCAAAGTGATTAAAAAAAATCAACATCTAGACGGGAGGTGCAGCAGAAATTAGAGAAATTTGGTAATTTTGAAACATCAGATAAATTTAGTTTAAACGAAGGTTAAGGAGAGGACAAGGCGTGCACTGACTGTAGCTCATTTGAGAAGGTGACAATACTTACTTGAATTAAGCATACTTCGTCCTAGATGAAGCAGACGCTTATCTTCTTCCGAAACACGTCATATTTTCGTTGTACGTTTTAAAAGATTAAGCTTTAGATTTTATGACATGTCGAGTGTTTTCGTGTTGTTTTTGCACTTATCATTACAATGATTGGGATATCAATCGAAATCTCATCATATTTAAATATTTCAAATGGATGTTGCTAAAACGCATTAGTTTTTATAGTGCTGAATGTAATTACTAAACTAGAAAATGTGGTATTGACTCTACAATTTCTTTTCAAATGGAAATTTCATAAATGGTTATATGTAATATTGCTTTGGTGACACAATACCTGTAGGGAGGTGAAGACAAATTTGATACTCCCCATGTGTCGTTGAGTAGAGTTGACGGAATATTCACTGGTAGGTTTGGTGACACATTACCTGTAGGGATAAGAAGACAAATTTGATACCACCACTGTGTCGTTGTATAGAAATTAGTCACTGTAAGTTTTCTATGATTAGCCAGTGTTGTCTTTTCAATGTAAATACCGAAAGGGTTGTCGTTTTTCAGGGGTTTTATTTTCGCAAATGAAAAAAATTGTGCAAATAAACATATGGAAAATGAAATCAACAGATACAAAAACTAATCTGTTCTTCCCTGAAAATACCTATTTGCCTCAATCTGTAAGTGAAACTGCGAGAGTTTCTATAATAATCGTCCAACCAACAAACTTACCAGTGCCTAAGTTTAGATTTATGAACACCACCATCCCGTTTCTACAGTAATGCTTGAAACGATCCGAGTCATTCCCGTTGGGGACTAAAGTTTTGTGTTGTGCCCGTATATCCTCTCTTTTCCCGATTTATTCCTACATCCTTGTCACTGGAAATTTATACTTGATTTGGGCACAGTTTTGTGAGTCAGTGTTGCAAGTATCAAAAGTAGGTCAATCTGACTTACATTTTGACCTTTGACCTAATCAAAGAAAACAGTTTCTCCAATTTTATTTAATACACATCTTGCTGCTGGAACTTGGGCTCGTGGTATAGGTTCTCCTTGGTTAGTCGGTTTGTCACATATCAAATTATGTCAAACTGGCCTATTTCTTTACCTTTGACCTACATCAAACAACGTTTGTCAGGGTTTTAACTTCCAGTGTATTTGTCACTTCTGACAACAAAATTCACTAAAAATTAAAAATCAGTATATGGGTTTACTTTGGTGAGGCTGTGTGTCGGTAGAGGATTGTAATTTGCCGAATTGTGTTGTCAGCTGCTCAGGATCAATCCTAAAAATAATATATGATAACACTAACATCTATTATGAACTATAATAATACAACCTCCTAGCTTACAAATTACGGGATTTTCACTTCACCTGTGAAAGGATTTTCTTACCTTGAAATATTAATTTGGTACACTTATATCAACGTGAGAGCATTATATTTAATATGGATTGTTGTCTGTCCGTACAGTAAGCCGATTAAAATCGATTTCTGAAAGAAACTAAACATTATAGAACACGGTAGGGTTAAACACCCTACTGTATAGATCGTTCGCCACGAACCTCAGCTTGTTCGGTTTTGAACACAGATTTATGATAGCCTAGTCAGTGAAGAGGCTTGTGAATCTTGAGAGGTGGCGGACAACGGTCAGATGTGTAAGTGGTCCAACACCACTGAACATTAACAAAAGAAAGAGCTTTGTTCAGACCAAAGTATGGTCATCAGTAGTCTCTAATCAGTGAACGAGAGTGATTTAATTCCGCTGATATGACGCACCATCATTTTAGACAGGTGGTGGGCACAGTGTGTCTGTGTTGTAATATGTAAGTATAATCAGCTGTTGTATTGTACAAATCGCTCTTAAATGTATTTATTAATTACATGACTATGACATGCATTGATATATTTTAATCTTCAATTTGAAATGTCCTTAAAAAGTTAAATCATCTTAAGAGATACTTTTGACATTAGTTAACTTCTCTCAATTTTGATTTTTCTGAGTGGTTTTATAGGTCTCAATTATTGACACTAAAGGACGAACCAACTGCATGATGTAGATTAATTCATCATTTGTATATACTATTTTTAAAGTTCTGAATTATTGAAATGTGTTACTCACATGTGTGTCATTTCTGCGATATCCTGATATATGGTTACAATGTACATCACTTTTAAAGATTAAGTATTTATTTAAATTTGTCGCTAGTCACGCATACGATGCTTTCTTCATGTACATTAACTTTGACTTTATATATTGCAATACACTGTAATCAGCATGTTTGTTTATTATCCTGTTGATATAACGGTTAGGTATCTTTATATTTTATCCGTAGATTTTAAACCAATCTCTAAAATTCAACAAATCATTGTGTGCGCTTTAATTGTTCCATATGTATTTGTTTTCACTTTCATTAATCACATATATCGTGATTTTATTGCGAATATGATTCAACATATTTCAATTTTTAATCCAGATTCTGGTGTTTATATTTAGTATTAAATTGATAATTATGAAATAATAAATACATAGAAAAGAGGAATTGTTACGGTACTGAATTATGTCCGAATGGACATTAAATATCTCTTCATATTTGTTCGTACAACAATTCAAACCACTTTTGGTGTAATAAAAATACATAGCTGTAAAATCATACATATGTTCAAATCGAAGTTCGAATGGAGCAAACGTTGTGCGAGTGATAGTAGCTATATATCGCTGATGACAGCATACCATGTCGAAAACAAGTTGTTATATCATAACAATTCAGAAATTAAAGTGTGGTCGATGCCTTCACTATCACCTCTTTCTTATATAAGCGTCTTACAGGTTGTAATATAAAAACGTATATTCTATGTACCAACATGAAAACAGTTTTACAATAACATTATATGGTTTCAATAATTTTAAAAGCTCCTCGAGTTATAGAAGTGATGTACATATGTATTGGTTGACATGATATTGGTTCTTTAAATCATACTGGTATTTGTTGTTGACGTCAGACTTTTTCTCATGCATGATAAAGTTAAATAGTACTTAATTGCTCTCACGTTTACAGCAGAACATATCAGAACAAGAGAAAAAAATTAATCCAATTATATTAGAGTTTTAAATGGGTGGTAAACGCTAACATCCTCTGGAAAGTTCGTGTACACTTCCACTGTTTGTACAAGCTTAACAATACGTAGCACATAACATAAACAATGTTTTTAGAAACTCAAATATTGATCTCTATTTATGAATAACATTAAACTATTATAGTAACCTCTCTCATTGATAACACACATATCACACCTTGCCTCATTGTTCACTTAGTTTACTTTTATACTGCACGGCTGCAAACAAATAGGTACACTCAATGTATGGCTAGATTACCAGCGCTTTCTTTAACAGTCAAATAAATAATGATTTCAAAAAGAATGAATACACATCTTACATTGCTGTCATATTTCAACGTTTTGCATTGGTTCATTTAATAATGTTTTAATTGAATTTTCATTATTGTACTTTGTATGTATGACTTCTTACTAAATGTTAATCTAACCAGTGTTTGTATGCATGTCACCACTTGTATTACGTAAATTTAAATTGCATGATCAACATTTTTTTCCAAACAAAAAATCAATTAAGAATCGTTAAAGTTAAAAGTAAATGTGTGTCAACATTTCAAGTTAAGGCCTCGTGAATTGAAGCATAGTCAACTTCATAAAACTTAAATGTCAAGTTCGAACTCTATTTATTTTTCAAATATACTATAATTTTTTCATGAGGAAACATATTTGATAGATTCCAAATGATCGCAAGTAATCGTCTCACCACACATCACAGTCAAATTCGTCCGTGAATTCAAAAGAAATATAGTTGAAGATAATATCAAATTTGACCTAAAGTGTTAACATATTGTACAATTATATAAATATCATATTTACAGACATATCAGTGACAGAGGTTTATACCCTATTAACCGTCATCAATTAAATCATTCCAAAATCTATAAATACCAACAAAGCTTAAACAAAATCAAACAACACGCTAATTATCAGGATGAATAGTGAACTAAATACCCTTTATTTAAGCGTAATGCACCCTACATATATAATAACAAACTAAATTACTACTTGAAAAGGAATAGGATTTATCACGGTTCATTTTTATTAATAGATTTTTTTTTTTTTTTTTTTTTTTTGTAATTCTGTAAGTTAAAACCTTTCCTAATGATAGTGATTTTGAGTATATGTACATTGAAAATCTAAATGTAAAATTGTTTGATGAAGCTAATTGTGTTTGTTAGAAAATTAATCTGGACTATCATATGTATAGTATGTAGATAATTAAACGACGGTGTTCTATTGACTGATGGGGGTAATTTTTATTAATGTTAAAGTGTTCTTGTTTTTAACTAATATGTCTCTCCATGATTATCTTTATCTTGATTTCGATTCATCCGTTTATAGAGATAGAACACGTATGGAAATTGACCAAAGCCATTTTTTATCTTTCCAGGAGGGACACCGAGTTACCTGATATCAAGAAAATGCAGTGGACTGAAAATGCCCAAGGAGTCGGGACGATCCCCGGTCACATGTCGATCCGAGTCCCGCCAGCTAGTATCGGAATTGGAGGGAAAAAGGAGAAGCTTATCGGAATAACAAACCATGAGGTTTCCGAACGGTATATATTGAAACTACAACGAGATCGAGAACGGAACAACCAGGCTGTGTTCAAGAGCCTGGAAAACCTGCCGATCACAATCAGGTATAGTCTTATATCATGTCCCATTTATAAAATGAACCACTTGTTTATTGTAAAAGTGGTGTTTTTACAAACATATCTGCGTGAATCTTCACACATGTACGAGTCTTCTAAGTGTACCAAGTGTTTGCATAGTGTTTTCTTGTGGCGTATGTTTAGAATAGTATAGTAGAAAAAAAGAAAGACAAATTGAATTGGCATTCATTAGAAGAATTCAGAATTCCCTGAGGGAATGGATTTGTTTATATCAATCTTGTTGTGTTTATCAGTACAAAACCTGTTAATACCTCCATCGTTTGTGGGTATATTTCTAAAAGCATTTTAAACCTTAAGATAGTTGTAGTAATATCGCACTTTAAATGCTTGTGTCCAGTGTTTTAAAATATATATAAATGTGTACTTATAGGGCCATATCTTGTTTTTATATGAATAATTATATGAAAACTATTATCTATAAATGTTTTAACTGCAAATAAATCTGAGAGATGTCCAAAATCAAGAACAGTGCATCAAATTCACCTGAAAAAATAACATCGAGAATTGTAAAAATAAATTGTTTGTTTTCTTTTGCTCTCTAGGCATGTCCCGAAATACCGGATACAATCTGAGCCAACTATAAACACTGCTCGTGCAGCCGTTGGTGCGGGAACAGAAGCACGTCCCTCATCTATGAGGTCATTATCTCCCGAGGAGACATCCTACCAACGGTTTCTTAACACCGCAGATGTCAGTCTCGATGTCAAATCATCCGACGCGAACCCAGTCGGTAAAGTTAGCCAAGAACTCCTTCGATCCGAATTTAAGAAATCGAAGGTAGCGGGACCCATGTGTCCTCATCTGATGCCGTTGTCAGCATGTCGGAAATGTGCCAGATTGAAGAAAAGGAGGAAACGGCCAGATGTCAGGAAGGAAACAACGTCCACGGTTACTACCGGTATTCTGGGGAATGACCTGAACATACAGGCAGAAGGGAGTGGAAATCAGAATCAGGATACATCATGCAGCTGTACACATAGGGGGACCGAAAAAGTGATTTATACAGCTGGTTTCCAAGGACACCAGATGCGATCGACAAAATCTGTGAAAGTTCCAAGTAAAAAGAAAAGTTTGAATATCGGTCTGCCTACATCAGGGAACTTGCCTTTCCAGAAGAAATACACTCGTGTTTTCGATTCGAATCAGCAGATTCATTTCGTGAATACATCGCTGTTGTCTGGTCAGAGAGCGGGAGCGCTTGGAAAAACGTTTAAAAAACTTCCAGGAATACGAGCAGCTGGGGAGTCTCAACGCCTCCGAGAAAACACGGAAGTGTTTGCCATAAAGTCTGTCCAGCGCCATAACGATCCTTTCCCCGAATCTTCCTCTGAATCAAAGCCAACAATTGATACAGATATGTCTCCAACACCAATACCGATTCAACCCATGCCTAGTTTTGCATCAGATATATCCAATATGCAAATGATCAATTTGGATGGAAGAGTACACGGTGAACCACAAAATGAGGACAAATATAGCCAACAATTTATTAATACACATGATTTTAACGTCCCTAAAAGTGATATGGAACTTCAAAAAGTGCGTGAAACTCCAAAGGACAGACATGTTCCATTGAGTAGAAGTAGTTCAGAGGTATTAACCTGTAAATCTCAGCGCATGATGCCAGGAAGAACCAACAGTAAATCTACCTTGTACAGTAGTAAATCGGGTAGTTTTAAGACCGGTAATAAAACAAGTCGCACACGAAATACGGAAGCTATGGGTGGAAAAAAACAGGATGATAGCAGCAACAGGAAGGTAGCTCAAGAAATGCAATTTTCAGTGAGGATAGAATACAAACAAGCAGACAATGAACCGACACCAAGAGAGAGCACTTACTCAGAGATTGTCAACATGCCAAGATGGGTTGAAAAAGAGAAGTCGAATGCAGAGAGTATTGCTCAGAAAAGTACTGTCAGTTCGGTAGTAGGCCACAAGTTTCATGAGCGAGTTAGTGACGATTTAGTTGTCGGCGACGAGATAAATAACGTCCAACATCCAAATTTGCAACCAAGCGATCCTGATGGAAAAAGTAAAGACGATGTAGAATTTGATAAAAGTGATGTTTCTTCACATGAAATCATCGATCATGATGATACTAAATATCACATTTCTGAAGTTAGCGATCTACATGGTATTAGACATGACCAATCCGAGCCAAGAAATGATAATACGGACACGAATATTCCCGCAAAAGAGATCAGACAAAAGTCTTCTCCCGAAAGTGGTTTTGTTAGTATGCCAAGCGGGTCAGAAGAAACAAATGTTGAACCAGATAATATAACAGTTGAATCTGAGGAATCGGCATTCGAATCAGAGAAAAAAGTGAATCTAGGAAAAAAAGTAACCTTATCAAGGTCAGCTTTACCTTCTGATAATGAGCAAAATGAGACGGAATCAGCTTCCTCTGTCGAATTCCAAACCCAGGATGATACCATAAGCGGAAATGACGTCAAGGACAAAAAGTTGGATGTTTCAAGCAAGAAAGATGATGATTGTTCTGACAAACAAACTGTTAATGAATCTCCAGATTCTGAATTAGGCGGTGGTTTTTTCGTAACTACTATTGATACTACGGCAGAAGAGGACACCGAAAACAAAGAAATAATGTCAGGAAGTGATTCTGGAATTGCTCAAGAGGACTTTACTTCCCTACAGGAATACGCTAATGGGGACTTAAAAGTACCTCCATCGCCTCAAAAGGTCATGCGGCCACCTGGAATTGGTATCGGACTTTCACATGATATTCAGGCATAAAGACAAACGCAAGCAATATCCCAAACCATCTACTAGATTTTCAAACTTTTCTCGTTTTTCCTGTTCCTTTTATTTGTTTAATAGAAATGATATTAGCTTTCCTGGTATTTGAACGTTACCTTAATTCTCCGTTCATCTGGTTTGGTTTATTTACGACTACATGTTCATCACCATGGCAACGCACAGTCATCACGTCAAACTATCGACCAACAGCACCAAATTCAGCTTTATATAGCATGGCATTCTACACATCTAGCAGGTAAGTCTCAGTAGTTAAGTCGTGTTTCTTTTATACTTTTAACGAAATCCTTATGAATATCCTTCTTATAGGATTTGCATCTCTAAAAGCATGAATTCAAATATCTCTGAATCATTTCTTCGTTGACCCGATTATCCGCTGTTCATTATTTGGAGCATAGCCTTGTATGAATAAAAATCGATAAAACTTTCATATACAAAATCCCTATTGACAAATTGATGTCTCCTGAGATGATTTGCATGGCACATGTCGCGTGAAAGTATATTTTACATTCAGATAATATATTTGTGAGTCCCGCACCCAGATGACTATTAATTAAATAGTCTTCATGGAAATAGTTACATATCTATTTTAATGTTAAATACTAATAATAACAAGGCAAAGGTTACTGGAATCGCAGATGTTAAATTCAAGTCCAAATCTGCGCTTTTTTTGTCTCTTTATCACAAATTATCATAACAGTGGTGTTATAGCACATTTCTATTAATGCCGATTGTGTTTTACTTGATGGTGGCCATTTGATATCCAAATAGTATCTCGATGACTAGGAGGCAGAGTGAAATATTGTGTTGGGAAGAAATACGTTGAAGTTGACACCGATACAAGTCATTGTAGAGTACAGTATGTCTTTTTATTGTCAAGAATAATCAAGCTTCAGTTTTGCACAGAACGGATATATGTAAAATAGAAGGAAAAGGTTTTTCTACCAGTTTTTTTCTTCTATTTCCGTTCGATATATAAATTTTCATTTGTGTTTAGAACATCTTATTCGATGGGAGGTAACTCGTAAAACCTTGACTAATTTCTACAATGTGTTACACTTTATCATTCAATAAAGTTCTTTATGGGTTCATGTCACGATCATATTCATACAAAACCACGTTAAGATTTGATTTTTTCAATTAACAAAGATTACTTTTTTTGGAATAGGGTTTTCGTTAAAATAGTACAATTGGATTCATTATTGATTTTTCCACTGTCTTGTCATTTGCCTGTCTTTTAACATGTCCACCTTATCAGTATGATATTCAATTCCATTGAAACCAGTGCCATTTTTCTTTATACTACGTGTGTGTAAAAGTTACAAAAACAAAAAACAAAAAAAAAAAAAAAAAAAAAAAAAAAACAGATCGCACGATCTAAATGAACTTATTTTGAAGAACTCATTGTATGAACGATAATGTTGGTTGTTGGTAATGATGCATGTCCAACTTTTATGCATATTTTTCAAACATTGCACAGTTGTGATGAAGTAATGCTCATAAATTATCACATGCAATTTTGAAAAAAATAATGGCGATATTTTTATGGCATTTTGCCACACTTATATCATTATCAAAGTAGGGCATGTGTTACTGTTTTGTTTGATTTTAAGGTGATTTTTTGCTTACACTTCAAACAGTGCATTAGATCATACATTGGAACGACAATGTTTAGGTCAAAGTTTACTTACTCAGTGTTCATCGTTATTTGAGGATATTGACAAACGTCTGTTGAACACAACTCGCGTGTTTCTGTTTATGTATGCACGGTCTTGTTAAGTACATTTCATATTGTGTTAAACACACAACAACTTCGTAATGACTCTGCTGATGTTATGTTCTACGTTGTATATGATCTTACTCTTTACTGATCTGTTATTGTAGATATCTGTTTAAAGGACATTATTACCTCAGTTAACAAAATTAATGGGATTTTTAAAAGTCCATATCTTGTATTTTTACCAATGCCATAACTGAAGTTGTTGATAATATTGTACAATGCAAAAAGAAACTATAACTGAATATTGCACAGAGCTACGATGAAATGAATTGTCATTACCGCCAATATTTCGTAATTTTACAATTCAAATGATAATAATAATAGATTATGATGACCAATTTCTGAATCCCTTCGACACTCAAATTATAAGGCGATCTGTTGTTTCATATAATTTATGAATCTTAAATGATTTGATATGAAAATGTATCCAGTTTGGTATTGTGCGATGTGTTAGGCAGCCTTTCAGCGTTAACGTGACACATAGAACATTAAGGCAGATACAACGGGACAGAGAGCTGAAGACAGCAACTATAATATAGATAGAGTTCTTCTTTGCTCGTCTCTATTCATACCCTCTCTGTCTTGAGTTTCCAGAATGTTGTGTATTACGCTGTTCTCTTACGGCCATCTGCACGATATCTGATGGTAACGACACGGCATTGTTGAACGTCACACAAAGCTTGGTGTCATTGTCAAACGGTATATAGATAGGTCTGATCTGGGTGTAGGGAGCTCCACGCTTCATCGACACTGCACCAGTCACCTGAATATTGAGGACTACCTGTTCTACAATTCTATTTATTATAATATTGCATACCTCTCAGAGAATAACGTTTCGTTGGAAACTCAATATGGTGCCAGTGGGATTACGTATTCCAAAACGGATTAATGAGTGATTTAATAGAAATGTACAATGGATTAATCAGTGATATGTGCCAACTATGAATATATGTGCCTCAGTACATTGTATGTTAATATGATTGAGAAAGGTAATACTGCTTTACAATAGATTATTATTCACATTTTAATCTAATTTAACTTTGAGTGAAATTCATTAAATCTCTTTATTTTACTTACTAACTCAATATATTGATCATTGGTGATGTCGAACGTTGAACGAAATACTACTTGGATCTGAGTCAATCACCAATAAGACTATCTTTATGTATCGTATCACAGTTCAATAATATAGACAGTCAAATACATGTACGTTGGTTTTGATTGTCAGGTGTTTTAGTAATCTGGACAAGATATGCTGAACTAACAGGACAGTTGTATTCCCTAACAATTCATTCGTTAACCACCGTGTCCTTATTTTTTACTATTGTCTCACATATTGTCATATACATCTCTTCCGTAGTACATCACTTGATAGTGTTCATGATTTTATCCTCGTTTTGGGGATCCCTGTCTTATTAATCGTTGCTGTGATATAATTATTTGATGTTTGATTAACATTTGAGTAGAGTTTATATATATATATATATATATAGAGAGAGAGAGAGAGAGAGAGCTATTTTGAATACCGTAATAATTCATTGGAATCGATATACATGTACGTAAATAAGAAAATCAGGAACACAGTGAAGACTGTGGCATCTTAACTTATTTAAACTATCGCGTGTCATTTCACATCACTTTTGATTATTACATCAATAAATAATGTAATCTCTCTGGCAGTAAAGTCAGCCACCACATTAAAAACTCTATAGATTTTCCTCAAATAGGAGTAAGTTTTTCACACTGCATAAGGAAAATCGATGTAAAATAGACAATAATTATTGTTTAATTCCCTATGTAAGCGTCGACTAAGACATGTCTAAACAGCTGTAGACCGAGTTTACATACATTCTGTACAAACTCAATAAATAATTATAGGAATATTTCTGAGATAATTAAATATAAGCAACATAGTTTGATAAAAAAAATCAAATGCTTTAGGAGACTTATATTCATTCTAGCGTGAAGGCATGGATGCAATTAAGCAAGAAGACAAAATATTGTAGGACACTTTGTTTATATGTTTTTTTCAGTACCAACATTTAGCATGAGAGAGAAGTGTTATCTGGATAAGCACGAGGATGGATCGGATTCGGTCAAGGCTGCCTCCATAGGGTCTTCCGGTGTTTCCCTCATTCCATCTCTGGCTCCGAGTTCCGTGTCGTCACTCATTTCATCTCTGTCTCCGAGTAAGACTTTGGATAAAGAGAACCGACAACTGCGTTTGCAGAGAACCAATACCAATGATTTCAACGCTATGCGTATGGCCAACCTCGTCCGAGAGAGAAACATTGATAGTCAGGCGTACTACAAACGTGTGTCCTTCCTGCCTCTTAAAATCAGGTAAGAAGATTTTGGCTGATACACTTTTTGTAACTTATAATCAATATATTATATTGTTTTGTATAGAAAATGAGTTAAGGGGGGAAGTATGCATGTATTCTGGAGGCAAATGATAAGGAACACCATTTCCGCGAACTGTGAAAAGAAACATAATAGTATAGCATAAACATGAACATCATGATAATGGAACCAAAAATATCTAAGGTATGGTTCCTTTGTTACCTGATTACGTAGGGAAATGTCACACTTAGGGGCAGATTGATACGTATAGTTCACAGTGAATTTAAAAAGAAAAATGCATGACGACCTCAATAAACTGCAAAATGAAAACGGAAAAGAAAGTATCGAGATATACAGGTTCTAAGGCGTGGAATTGGATAATGTTGCATATTTCTTCGTTTAGACAGAAGTTTGGGTTTTATTAAAAGTTACATTCAGCTTATCAAACGCAATCGTTCAACATATCAGAAAATTGTTTATATTCCATTGTTGCAAAATAGTTGACAAGGTACGCATCAATATTTAATTTATGGTATATCACTCCCAATATAAAAAAAAACACCGTCATACCAAAAATATGCCCTATATCTATATATAGAAATAGGATAGTGGTTGTTTTAAACCATACTTATAAACATAAGTAACTATGGGACTTCAGCGAGAGCCAGAGTCTGTTTCAACAACTACCTTAAATCTCGATTTTCTTCTCCTGTTTCACCTGATTTGGATCTAGTGGAAGTTCTCACCAAATTCACTTTATTGTACAACGATTCTTGTCAAAGTTTAGCAGTTTATCACCAAATCAAATTAAATAAAACTCTGAGGAATGCTAATAGATTAATCCTTATTTAACCACTACTATTGTTCATTGAAATTAGTTTTTAATGAAGGTTGAATTATTCGTCAAGTGTATTTTAATAAACAATGCCGAGTGTATCTGACAGAAAATCCTAGTTTTTTATGAAGTACTTTGATTTATAGATTGATATACAAGAGTTACCTCCCGTCTTTCACGTCTGAAAAGTGAACAAAAAACGATATTTCTGACATACTGTGGATATTTGAATCAGGATTAGCTAAAAGTAGTCCTTCAATGAAACACTCTCAGAACGAAAATTGTGTAGGGAAAAAAGGAAATATAGATGTCATTAGTTTTTCAATAAAAGGAGAAGATAGATACGGATTTTTGCAATGTGTTTTACATATAAGTAACAGACAATAAGAAAAACCCAGGATTTTGCACAAAGACCTACAATAGGCGGATATGAAGAAGGTGAAACAGAAACTCTCTTGTCTCTTGTGTCATGTATATAAGTACGGAATGAAATAACGCTTACATTAGGAAGCATTCTTAATAGGTATATTGTAGATATTAATGCTGAAAAGATTTAGTTTGATTTCGTATTTTCCTTGTCCTCGTCTCCTTAACATCCAGATATCATGCTCTCTTAATTTTGTAATAAAGATGAAAAATTGTTATCCATTGACGGTTAAAAGAAAACCTTAACTCTGTGAAAGCTAATGATATTTAGACATGTTCGATGGGCCATTAAGTTATTGTTTACCATTTCTAGCTTGATTTATTTTTGTTACGATTTGCACTCGTTTTATAGTTTAAAAATGTTGAAGATTGACATAAGTAACAGGTTGTCAGCAATTTTAGTTACCTTTACAATGGTCAGAATGTAGTGATTGCTTTCAATGTAAAACAAAAGTGAACACTCCTCAATCATTTACCATGAAGTTTAACTAATTGTATTTGTTTCTGAACCACATACATTTACTTATTCTGCTTAGGCCATTTTTTATCATATGATTTATAAAAGTAAGTAAATATTTAATGCATTAGTTATTTCATTTGCTTACTTTTTATTTATTTATCTTTCATCTTTAGTTTTTTCATGTCGGTGTTTTTTAATTCAAAATCTTTGAATTCCATTATGTGTAAATAATTTATACAAAATCTGAAACTTACAATCATGTTAATTATTAAAGTGTTTGTTCACTTACCCCACTTCATAAAACATTACAATAGTTTGCCCGGCGATAAAGGGGTCTTTGTATCGTTCTTGACACTTCTCTACCATTACTGTCACTGTTCTTATCATGTAAAAAGGTTGGATCGAAAGTATTAAGATAAATTATATTATTTCTCACGGCATTGTACTTTCTGATTGTCTATCAACAAAAGATTTTAAATACATAAGTGCTATTTGTATAAGCAATTCAATTCACTCTCACAATGGACGTCTTTCATTTTAAACTTTTTCCATATCGTTCAATACTATTATGATCTTTTACACAGTTATTGCTTGTTAATGTGGAGGTCGTGTACTATTATGAGATACGCTACCCTATAATCATATAAATATTACAGGACAGAACAGATATAATTTTCGATATTAAACGAAGGCCACCTAGATTGCTGTCACAATGCTAATCAAACTCCAAGCACTCAAAAACTATTATTTAACACATCGCCTAAACATTGCAAAAAGGTATGACCCGTATTTAACGTCCATTATATGCATATTGATTCATTAAAACTTGGATTGAAATTTAATTATCTGTTTTTATCTTCCTATGATAAAATGTAAAAAAAAAATAATCAAACTGAAAAATAACAAATACGAAAATATGACACCTTTGGTCGACTCATTGTATATCATTGATTAGGGACTATTGAATTCGCCTCGTTGAATCATAGGGTTGTATCAAAGGTTGGTAGGCCGAGTTCCTTATCGTTTGATTTAGTTTGATGCCTTGTTAATTGCGCTGAAAGCAGTCCTGTTCTTCCGACCTATCTTAATAAATCGTGAGACTTGACACAGTGTCTCTACACGGCTAAAATAACTGTGAAAATCGCCACTAATCTAACAATAGGTAAGCCTATTCATAATGTGAATTCACCCGATCTGATAAACACGGTCTTGTTATTCAACGTCAAAAGAAACAAGGGATTTAAAGCTGTCTAATCTCAAGCCTAGGTATACTACACTGCTACACTCCAGGTATCGGACAATCTCGCCCTCTAGTGACCATGCCACCCGAAAGTGTAATTATATCTCGGTTGTTATATAGTGGACAAAATGGAGAGTTTAGTATCTCACATAAAATTTGTGATATATCTATCGATTCTGAATGAAAAAAGTGAACATTACAAATGACTTATTCTCGGATTTACAGGTAAGTATTTTGACATAAACGTTTTACTTATTAAACGTATTACTTACGAATATCAACTACTTTTAATGTCTCATATGAATTATACCTTTCTGATAATTTATTGAAAATGGGTTAGGTTTTCGTAAAAAAAAACCAATGAAGTAATTCAGAAGGGCTGATGCGACATAGATATGGCTTATAATTGATACCTTGTCTGTAAAACTATTTTCAACTATACGTAATTATTAAGAAATACGGAATTATGATTTCATGAACCGTCCACTATGACATCAAAAATAAGTTGGTATGGTTATGAAGGACATTTTGATGTAGATAAATGTACGCGACGTCTACAGGTACTTAACTCGAAAACTATTTGCATTTTATGTTGGGAGTCTCGTCACTGTAACGACTGATCCGCATACTTATTGATATTTTAAAGTTTTATTTACCTTCCGTTGTTGTTGTGATGGTGTGTGTTTATAATATGTACTATTAGGATAGAAATATTATGACAGAGAAAATTAAAAAACGGGACGAATATTGTGACAATGACATTTTTTAATGTCCGCTCACACGCAGTTTTTCGGGCGGGTGCTGAAATACACGTTCCTATCATTCATGTTGTCACTGCTTACAATTTAGTAACAGTAAAATTTTGTACCAGTTTCCGACACTGAACATCCGTGTAAAATATATCTGGACATCTGGATCATTTTAATATCTTTATTCGGAGTTTTTCCTTTCTTGATAGTAACCTCCTTTTCTCCCCAGTTTATTTTTGTTGATCAGGTTGATTCGTTATTCCAGGTTTTGTTCTACATATGTCTCTTTCATGTCAACATCTTTAGATAAACACAGCACAGAGTTTTGAGAGAAGCAGGTTGATAAAAAACTAGTGGCATTTTACTGTCTCTGTCGTGATTTCGTAGCAAAAATATTATATTACATTGTGTTGTATGATATGAAGTTGTGTCTTAGTATGCCTGGTCATTCCATTTTATAAATCTGGCTCTCAGAACCCAACACCACGATGTTGGATAGACCAAGATTTACATGGTGGATGTCGTTGATGAAGCAGAAGACGCTTACCCTTCCGGAAAACCTGGTCTTTTGCTCCTTATACTATTTATTTCGCCGTGTGAATTTCCATATTTCATCCTCGTTTCATTTATTTTCAGACCGATTTATCTATATGGACATGTGTTTCTTGATGTTATTACACCAAATTATTGTTTTGTTAGGATTGGAATATCGCTACTCAGAACGCTTCTACTTCAGACTAAACGTGATATATATAATTTTTAGACATGTATATATATTTACATGCCTTTTTATCTATTATAAAAATGGTCATGCAATCATTAGAACAATAGAGTATACTATATATTGTACCAGTTTCAGCCATTCTGTATAGATATGCCAGACAGACATACTTATATATCTAAGTGATTGGAATGCGAACACGTACAGACCGACGTAGCCGGCCCACACTACCACATAAACTTAGATAACAATAACAGAACCTAGCCTGTCTCTAAATAGATCACATATTAATGATAAATGACAATTCAACAATGACTGGGTATTGTATGAACAAGTTTTTATATATGAACCCGGTGACACGCGACTAAAACTACTTATTTGTCATGACTGGGTGACGATAGCTGGTTAATTCGTACTTTGATGAATGGCTGGGGTATTAATTGATCAAATGCTTGATTGAATTATTGTAGTCACCTTGTCCAGTTCATCGACAAGTTAACTAGAATCAAATACCAAATTTTCAGTACTATAATTATGTCTTCGGTAGACACAGCATGTTACAATATTGA